ATTATGAAATAGATCCGTTGAAAGAATAAGCGTATCGATAAAATTAACGTAGAAATAAGTCAATACATTTAAAAAATGCATATAAATGTTAATCTGTCACTAGCCCGTGCCGCTTTTCCGCGTAGTTTTTGGCTCCATGTAATAGGAGGGAAAAAAACAGGCGGCACGGCGGCACGGTTCTGGTTACTAGTTCCTTTACCGCGTACCGCGTACCGCGTACCGCGAACCGCGCTCCATGTGATCGCACCCTTATAGCGTTTTCGAATAAACGGGGTTTGAACGATCTAGGGTTGATCAATCACTATTTTACTATAAATGCAAGTCTTTCATTGGTGGAGAGGTTGCAATGACGTCATTAACCAATCTTGGGTCGTTCAAATCCTGTATAATCGAAAACGCTATTAGTCCGTGTGCCGAGCAGTTGTTGAGTGGCCATTTTGTTGTAGGGTGTCATGGCCGTAACCGGAAATCCTGCCAGCCTCAGTTTTTCCATATGTCAAAGCCTAAAGTTAGCGATCTAGGCTGAGTTCCACTTGGTGATCGCAACGCTCGTGAACATTATCTATCTTTCTTTAACTTTCGATGAAAAACAAAGATAAAATGATTCCACAAACGTTGCGATCGCCAAGTGGAACGTACCTCTAGTACTAGTATAGACATCTGTGCTGGTAGTACTATAGATTGGAGCGAGTAAGAGCATGTTGGGGCATGCGACGCGAACAAATCTCATGTGCTATGGCTTTAATCAGTATCACGAAAAAGAAATAATGAAAATATTCATGTATATGCATGTATTCAATATTCATATATGTTAATTTATGCCTTTTTAAGATAGGAATATTTAATCTTTCACATATGAAATATAAATATAAACAATATGCGAAATTGTTAAATTTTGAATCTGAATGTAATGCATAAATACATTATTTAGATACGATGTGTATGTCTTCCCCAAATATATTTTAAAGATATGATAAAAACTTCAGAATTTTTTATATGTTTTAATAAAATAAGAACATATGTTAATTTATAATTGAAATACAAATATTTGTAATTTAACCAATTATTCATAATATCTATAATATATTTTTATGTTGTTTCTTTAACGTTTAACTCTACGAAATAAAATAAATTAAAAAACTACCGATTTATTGTAATCATTTAAACTGTTTTATAAAACTCGATCTTGTTAATAAAAAATGTTTAATAAGTGAAACATAACTTTTTAATAAAAAAACATAACTTTAAACTCAGACAATATATCATATATAATAAATAAAATACTAAATAATTTTTTACTTTTTATACTATAGAATTGTTTCAACTTTCTAACCATTGAATATTATGCTTATTGTCAAGAAAATCAATATAACTTGATAAATCATCCTGATGAATCCCATTGGCTGCACAATATAAAATTGCAGTATTTTCCAACAATTCTTGTAATGACCCTGTTTCTATTCCGTTTTTAGAACACTCTGATTTCATTTCCTGTGACTTTATACTCATCATAATAATTTCACGTTTGTTTAAATTATCAGATTCAATAGGCTTCTTACTCACACAGTTCAAAGGACTTTGGTTCAACTGTGAATTTCTTAAAGATTGGTGATTCTCTAATTGTATCAAAGAATTGTTCCAAGAGTTTTGATTGTTATCGGCAATTTGATTGTCCTTAGTCGTTTCTAATGTTGGACAGAGATTTTTCCACTTTTTGTGTGAGTAATCAAGTCCCACATTTATGTCGGTTACAAAGTTTCGATTTTCTTCTATTATCATATCCTTCTGCCAAAGATTACTTTGTAGAAAACTTTTAGTGCTTAAATCTGTCGAGTTCTCTGTCATATTTTTTGAACTATAAATCGGATTTTGCATTATAGACTTTGTTGAAATACTTTTGTTGTATTTCGATTGGATTCTAGCGATTTCTGAAGTTTTATTGGTGCACCATACGTAGTTTGTTCCAGAATTCATCATGGATATTCCAGTATTTGATTCTCTACTAATCTTCATCTCGTTAGTGTTTTTATTTTTATGAATTTTCTTTTTAATTTGAACAGTTTTCTTGTTTTCAAACTGATTTTCCAGAAAGGTTTTCTTTGTCGTACATTCTTTTGTATTCGTGGCATGTCTTTTCAGGGTATACAAATTGTTTTTTGGAGATTCTTCACAGTTTAAAGTCGGTTCATTTATAAATGTCAGTTTTTTATAGATTGACGACATTTTTATCAGAGTCTCATCACTAATAGATGCGTTTTCCGGTCTGGGCGGGGGGTTAAATATGTTCTTTGCGATTGGTGTGCAAATTTCGCTGCTTATCTTTGCAGCTGGATTTCTCAGCAAGATCAAAGAGCTGTTTGAAGTATTTTGAAGAATCTGTTTCAAATTCATTCTGACTTTTCCGCTTTGTAGTGCAGTCTTTGAACCGTCAATCTCAGTCAGTTGCGCTTCTGGCATATACATTGCTGAAGACGATGTAAAAGTAGATGCAACTCTTTCATTACTTCTGCTATTTATATCTTTTTTTTGAACGCTCTGCGCCATAGCGGTAGCGTAGGTTTCCAGTAATTTTGTTTCTTCGGTAAACTTATCAATGTTTTCCGAAGAATTTGTGGCATTACTCTTGACATATGTTGTCTTTTTTAATTCCGGAGAATTTATTCTGACCGCAGGAACTGCCAGTTTCATCACTTTCTCTACTACAGCTTGTTTGTAAACTGGTGACATAACTTGCGAGCAATAACCGAGTACACAGTGAAGACTCCCGTGCATGCAAGTCTCGAAAGATTTGTTTTTCATGGGGAGACAGGCGTTCCATGTATCCTTGATATTTGATAAACGTTTATTTTTCATTTTTATTTTTTCTCTAGACTTCTGCAGAATGCGTTGATCACGAGACGGATCAACAGTAACCACTTCGATTTCTGAACCATCGATAATCTCACGATAAGATAATCCGTCAAAGCTGGTAAAATATCTTCCTAGATACTCTACCGCCAGACCAGCCTGGAAATAAACGTCATTGTACAAAGAATATCCTAAATAAAAAACTTATTTATATTCTTTAATAAATTTGGACTTAATTCTGTTTCTTTTTTCTTTTTTTTTACCCAAAATTATTAATAATTATTATTTATTGTAATTTTTTTTTAATTGCATATTTTTGCTATTAGTAATCAAATGTTATTTAAAAAAAATGCAGTTTATTTTATTTAAAAATTATAATTTATACTTACAAAAATTACAGTAATTATAATTATCTTTAATTGAAATTATTACAAGAGCCATTTAATAAATAAACAGACGAGTTGTAACTTGAAAAACTTTACTTAGTTGGCAAAGACGTTGTTTATCAGTGAATAGTAATATTTGTTTTTTAAAATAATCAACTCATTTGTAAACATCGCTATTCAATCAATGTCTTTTACAAATAAACTTACTATTGTTAAAAATAAGATATAAGTTGTTATTAAACAGATACAAGCTATTATTAAAACTAAATAACTATTGCTAAAAATTAACAAGTTTGCCAATATACAGGGTGTTGCATATACAGGGTGTTGCATATACATATTGGGCAGTACGACGGGTTGCGCGGCATACTTTGCAGGGATAGGCGAAGTTCAATGGGTAATGACAGCATATATACGTACCATCATAACTTATTGATCGAATTGATTGTGCACATTTTTACTAATTTTGAGTTTACAGCGTTTCAATTATGACGGACTTGAATAATCGTTGCAATTATTACTAGAGAAACTAAAACACATTAAAGATGAAAAATTTAAATTTTAGAAAGTTAACACGTTAAAAGAAACGAATATGATACAACAAAATTTCTTTCTTTACCGCTCTATCAAAATTTACAACGCTAATAGTAAAGAAAAGTAAAGCGGTAAAGAAAGAAATTTTATTGTATCATATTTGTTTCTTTTAACGTGTTAACTTCCTAAAATTCAATTTTTTATCTTTAATGTGTTTTAGCTTCTTTAGTAATAATCCCAACGATTATTCAAGTCCGGTATAATTGAAACGCTGTAAACTCAAAATTAGTAAAAATGCGCACGATCAATTCGATCAATAAGTTATGATGCTACGTATATATGCTGTCATTACCCACTGAACCGCGCCTATCCCTGCAAAGTATGCCGCGCAACCCGTCGTACTGCCCAATATGTATATGCAACACCCTGTATTTATAAAAATATAGTACTTATTATTTAGGTAGTTTTTAAATTAAAATTGTTTATCTGTGTATTTATTAAATAATCCTCGCATTTGTTTTTCCAAAAACTTTAATTTAGCAAATAATTTTTTATTTTATTTTAATTATCACTATTAATAGTCCAAAATGCTTTTTTATTACGCAGACAGCACACATGTCCAAAATATGTCTAAAGGATACCCGGAGAACGTCCTGTCGTCCCAAAAACGTCTTCGGAATATCCTCTGAACATCTTTTAGATATGCTGTGCTGTCTGAGTAAATATTAAGTATTTTGCACTATTAATATACAATTATACATAGGAATAAGGCTTATAATGTAAAAAAATATGTAAATAATACGTAACAATATTATATTGTACGAAAAGATAATCTTACTTGCGGATGATAGACTGGTCTCTCATGCATTCCATGTGCAGGCCATTCCTTCCATTCAGTCTCATCTCTCTTGGTAGGTGCCTGATAAGTAGCACCTATAGTGTACATCTTCCGGGTAATCGATCTTGTGTTCATATAGGGCATTGTGGACGATTTCATATGTTTACCGAACTCGTAATTTAAACACATTTCTCTCTTACTATTGGTTAATAGTCGTTTTTTGGGCCAAGAAAAATCCTTATCGATACTCCTCTTGGATATCCGCACGGGATTTCGTCTTACTTCTACCATTTCACGACTAAAATAATATTGCATAAAAATATCTTAAAATTTATATAGTATAAAATAGCGAAAGAAAAAATTAAATTCTAATGTAGCTAAAAGCAACCACCAATAGTGTGACTGATCAATTCAGAAGAGCAATTATTGGAATTATATGTCCTCGCGTTTTGATGAAAAGCAAAGTCAAATGTAGCAAACAAATTGTTAGAACTAAGAGCAATTGTATAACTTTTAGCACAGTTGGAATTTTTAGTGAAAAGATAATTGAATTTCAAAATTTAAAAGAAGAAGATATATAATAATATCTTAATGATATCAAAGAAGAATAAAAGCAAGCTCGAAAGATGAATATTAGGAATCATACCCAGCAAACACCAAGTTACAGTTATATAATTGTTAGTTGTAATTTCCCACTCAATAATATAATTGTTATATAACACGTGTATTATATAACAGTTATATTGTTGAGTGGGAAATTACAACTAACAATTATATAACTGTAACTTGGTGTTTGCTGGGTAATTATAGATTTTATAACCAAAACATGATATTCAAATTAAATTGGCGGTATATATTAGCGGCACATCGTGCCACAATTAAATAACG